ATTCAATTTAAAAATAGGTAAAAATTCAACTTTATATTAATATTTACATCAGCGAAAATCTGTAAGCGTTCCAAGATGTTACTCTCATGAATCTCTGTAATCCAAAGTGCAAATATATTCTGCCTGAGCTAAGTTTAGCAGGATTATCGTACTGTGAAAAAAACAAAAGAAGTATTTCAGAGGATGGATTGGATTATTCAATTATGGCAAAGCACACGAGGGCTATCTGCCTGAGGGGAGGGATGCCTTCGTGGAGGACTTTCTAAGGGAAACTGGCTCGTATACACGTTACACATGGGGAAAACCACGAAAACGCCCATGCAGCCAGCCCGTTCGCGTGATTCGAACCTCTGACCGAACTACCAGTGTTCAGCGTCTTTACCGCTCGGCCGCTGGTGGGTTTTCAGAGGATGGGAAAGAAGTAATAAATTCATATGTAATATTTCTGTAGTAAATTTTTCTTTTCTCTATACTTGTAACGATATATTATAAAATTGTATCTATAAAATTATATTTTTATTAGCTTATGGAAATGTTAGTTATTTTGCTATTTTTATTAGCTTTTGAAAAATGTTAGTTATTTTGCACAAAATAATTTATTGTTTAATAATTGAGATAAAATTTCAAAACTAAATACGGGAATTTATGAGAATCAGTCAGAATTAATGACAACCAAATTACAATCATGAAATGGCTTTCTACAACTATTACCAATGCCCACAGCATAAGATCTTTATATTGTCATGAAAGTGGGTTCTCAAATTAGAAGTTCTCGTGTGTTTTGCTATTCAAAGAAGCATAAAAGTTTTTATTTGTCTTATAAATTAACATCATAAGAAAGCTGCAAAAATCTGAGAGATTCATATTCATTTTTATTATATCTCTGCTTCATTTTTAATCTTACTAATTTCCATTTTTAAATCATTTTTATATTTCAAAGATATGCTCTTAAGCCATATATGCCATATATTACCTACCTTAAGAATAATCTTTTGCACATCGTCTAATAACAGTTTTCAATCCTTCGCACTCAAGAAGTGATTAGTCGTTTCTTAACTACCAAGCAGTCTTATGGTTAGGTTTTATGGTTATTAAAATCAAGTAGTCTTATGAGATTAGTCTCCTCTTAAGTATTGTAGCTATACTTCAGTGGTAACTTGAAGGTGACGTTATGAATTGCTTCAGCTTATTCTTAATGTTTCATTTCTTCTCATTCAAGTCGACTAAGACTAAATGTATATTGCATATTTAAGGTGAAAAACAATTTAGCAAATTTCCTCCCACCTCTTTGAGACCCGATACTAAATATGAATTACAAAACAAAAATGTTGATTGCAATTTGTTTTGCAGTTCCCAATGTTATTTTATGTTGTTCAGAGCCCTTCAAATTCATTTCATCAATTTATATTAGAAAAAAAAATAATTCTTGAATAGTATAAAAAGTCGCCTGAAAACGGCTTCCTCGCAGATTTTACTTCCTTGTACTAAGTAATCGCGAAAAGTTTCAGGCAGCATATTTCAACGAAAATATCCATTTTGACCGCTATCGAATGCAATTTAACGATGTTTTTGCTTGATATCTGTACATAAAGACAGAATAAAAGTCTCTTTTCCTCCAAAAAATTATAAAACTGCTTTAAAATGAATTCTGAAGGGAATTTTTCGTGGCGTCGATACGTACGTACGTATCTCGCATAACTCAAAAACGAGTAGCCTCAGAACGTTGAAATGTTGTATATAGGACTAATATAACATGTAGATGTGCCCCTCGTATTTTGGTTGCAATCGGCCCCACCAAACGTATATAAATATATTTATATATATATCCACTCTGTTACCCGGCTCAGTGATCTCAGTTTCTTTACTCTTATATGTTTGTAAATTGTACATTTTTTGCTTTAAAAATGATTGAATTATGTTGTTCTTATCTTTCGGTTAAGGTTTTTATGCCTTTAGTAAATCTGTATGCAATATTTTTAGAATTATAAACAATTTTAAAGTTGTTTAAGTACCGCTAAGCCTAATAATTTTTTGATGGCGGCCATTGCTTGTTTACGTTTGAAACAGCAGACTAGTGGATTTGTTGCCAATCTAGAGAAACTTAGCCTCGCAACAACAAAGATAACGCCTTCATTTATTATTGCGAATTAAATCATGCTTAATCTTGTCCGGAATTTTTTCGAGGAAATAAGTGTTTCAGATTTACTTCGTAATTTTTAATACAGGTTTTTGAGTTTTTATGTATTTTTGCCTTGTCGCGAAGTGAGAACTGAATTAATTGAATGAGAAATGCTCAATCGTCTTTGAAACCTGTTTCTTTTTTTGTTTTGTTTGCTTAATTTCTTTTATACATCGTTCTAGCTTTATTATAGTATTTGAATAGAACATGTGGCAACGATTAGGTAATTCTTTAAATGATACAAATTTTGTGCATTCTGTGTTATAATATGAACGAAATATAATACTATTAAGTGAATCTAGGGGCAGAGTGTCGCTAGGGTAAACAAACAGAGTGAATTTTAAAGACTGCATTTATTCTATTGTGGTCTGTGCGCTGTCGGGAAGTAAATTCAATTCAATCCAATAAGTTAAAATGAAATGCAAAAAAAATGCGTATAATTTAATATTCCGTACAAGGAAGTCATGTGGTGTACACATCAGATTTTTTAATTTTGCCATCTGTACTCAATATTGCTGGAAAAGGGGCTTAATAATATCATGATATATAAGGTAAAATTAAAAAGCTACACGCAGTGAGCGAAGAAGTTCTATCTAAATTATTTGCATGGAAAATAGTTTCTATGAAATTTATTCACATGGGAAAGTAACCGGACTATGTGGTTTCTTTGCATGGTCCAACTATTATTTCAGGAATTTTATTTTTATTTTCTTTAAATAAAGATTGTGTTCAAAGAGAAATAATGTATTCTTACGCTTTAAAAATTTTAACTTTAGCTTCACAATTGCCAACTTAAGGCAATTAGAAAGGAATAAAATTTCATTAAAAACCAAGTAGTCTTATTGAATAAACGTGCCTAACTTCATGATACGGAGTATATTAGTTATCACTGAGCAAATTATATATTGTGCATTTAGCTGAATCTTTCTTCAAGAGATGAAAAGATTATTCGAAATGTTGAAAAGGATTTGTTATAGCAACTACTAAGCTTCAGAAATGATGCTAAATGAAAGTTTTCGTGTATTTCGCTTAGAAACGAAGTGATGCTTTTTTTGCAGTGGTAAGCCTTAATTTGCTGTTGCTAAAAGGCTTTTCTTTCGAAATTTACTGAATCGAGATTTCTTCTGAAATTAACTCCGAGAAAAATTTAAGTTCTACCGATCATCTGAAATGGCATTTCCCATTTCATTTAAATTCCTGTTAATTGTTCTGCATTGAAATGCAGCTGAGAATTTTCTTTGAGATTTTATTGTTATGCATTTTATTGGTATTATAAATCATATTTGCGCATCGTTTCTTCGCAAATAATTATGATGCTGTTTTAAAAATAAACATAAATCTTATCAGGGTATACTAAGAGATTTTTATAGTATTCCATTAATAAACCATACTTCTTAAATACATGTATCATTAATGTGCATTTCTCACTTTCATACCATTCACTTTACACATAAAAAGTAAAATAATCATTCAAGGTACATCGTACGAGAGTTGGGTTTTTTGACACAACCAATCAATAATATTTTCTTACATACAAATTCAGGCTATTTATACTATTAATAACTTATTAGTAATTACTATACAAATAGTAACACTAATTATAATACATTTGTTTTGAAATGCTTACGAAAGGAACTTTTAAATATTTACAAAAGGGAAATTAGATATATTAGATTCTAAATAAAATTAAAATGTTAATCTGCTTCTAAATTAAAATTTTCTTATATGATTCTTAATAACATGCAATTACTTGTTGCATTCTAATATCTAAATATCTATGTACTAAATACGAAATTATTTTCAAAGATCTGAATGAACATTAAATTAATTTTATTATATAATTAGGTAGATTTTTATCAGTTTCACGACTATTAATGTAATAACGTTTTAGGGGAAGACATGTATGATAGTCTGCAATTTTTAAAATTTCCAACACTGTGGTACTTTTCAGTATTATTCAACAATGGGTGTTTCTTAAAACAATAATAAAAATAAAAAAATGGTAATAAAATTATTAGCATTGCTATTATTTATTTTAAACTAAATTACCTTTATTATTTAATCGAATAGTTTTTCTCAGCTTCTTCATCATTAAAATAATCTTCTTCAGAAAAATATGTTAGGTATTTTCTATTTTTCATAACTTTCAGTGGTAAAGCATTTACAGTACTATTGTATAATGTGGCTATCATTAAAATATTGATAAAAAAATCTGAAAGGTTTTAGATTTTAACGATCGCCTAAAAGGGTTTGCTAAGGTTTTTTTTACGTTCTCGATGGCCCAAGCTGTAGGTTTTGTGAAGGGGTAGTTTAAGAGAATTTGGTACCCTAAGGCTCAGCATCCTTTCAAAGGCTTCTTAGTTTTTGAAAAAAAACTCGGAATTATAAACAATTATAGAATGATATGGGGCCTTCTAAAGCCTGATTCTAGGCCCCAAGTTTCTAGGTCTAAGCAGGAATTAGGCTCTGTTTAGGAATAAATTTTAGAGAAACTTGAAAGTTGCTGTTTTCTGAAAACAAAATGGATAGTGTTCAGCATTTTTAAAGCCACAGATTATTAAGCTTAGCTTCTGGGAAAGATTTCAGAATATTATACCAAAGTTTAAAATAAACGCCAGGTTTTGAAAAAGTGGCTTACGAATGTTCCCATGAAAAATGAAAAGGGAATTTACCTTTCGATATCAAATTGGTATTCGATTGGCTTTTATGCTAATCCGATCTGATGTCATTGTTCAAAATGGGCAGGCAGATTTTCAAAGAAGCAAGGGTTAGGAGAAAAGTATCCAATAGCGAACGATATCAGTGTTGTTCGAGTTGAAGATAGGTGATAAATTATCAATTCCCGGAAAAATTTCGGGTTATCTCTTATGAAAACTGCAGGTGAACTGAAAATTTTTTCAGTCGCGTTTTAACCGTCTGGACCGTTAGACGGAGTTCTCCAAGAATTGCAGGTAATTAATAAATTGAGTCTTTTGTTCAATTAATTATTGAACAAATAATAATTTTTTCAATTAATTAATTTGTGTGTTCAATTAATTAATTAATTAATTTGTGAGTAAGTCTTTTGTTCGTTACTTTCTGTATCTGTAACTCTCGACCGTTCATTGTGAAGTGATTTTTATACTTTATTTCTGAAATTGAAACTTTTGTATATTAATTTTGCATTACATTTTATTCATCGTCTCTTGTCATTGCATTTTGAAAATGTGTTGATTATGCAAAATTTTTAAATTCAAGTTATGTGCTTATAACTTTGTTGCTGAAAATTAATTCTAAAATTTGTTCTCTTGATATGAAATATGATCAAAAAAAGTTTTCTTAGTATGTCAGTGGCCAAAATAATTAAAATGTGAAAATCTAACGATGGCGAAAATTTGTTCGTTATAAATTTTGAGTTTCAGGTTATTTGTTTATATTTCAGTCCTAAAATGCAAAATTTTAAAATTCTTTATTTTAATTAGGAAAACAGTTAGTAATTAATATTAAATTAAATCAAGCAATTCATTGACTATCTTGATAATAATTATACATAATCATTTAACATGCTTTAGTAACTATATTTAGTTATCAAAAATTTCATTTTGAATTATGAAACATGTATTTATTTTAACAAAGACAATTATGGCAATTTTAACAAATACATTTTAATAATGACATTTGCATATATTTATGTGTTGTTTGATATAAGCGCATGTGTGCACATTAGCATTAGCATGTGTAGCATAAGCAACAGATAAGGATTCCTATATATTTTATAGATATGTATATATATAAATCTATCTATCTAGCTAGCTATCTATATCTATCTCTATATACATAAGGATAGATAGATATATTGCAAATGAGTACTCTAATTACATACCTTCATAGGCACTCTAATTACATACCTTCATGAGTACTCTAATTGCATAGCTAATTTAATTAAGTTAATTATATATTACAATTAAAGCAATAAATTATAGTTTTTATTTAAATTTCACATGTGTACGTGAATTAATTAGGGTTTCAAAATTCAGTTTATTTCTCTGCATGCTGTTAAATCTGCTGTTTTAGAAAGGATACGAAAAAGAATTTAAAAAACAGGAAACTGAAAAAAAATGCTTCCCTATCAGTTTACCATATTTTTAAAGATAACTAATTAAGTTACAAGATTAGCTTCAATATGTTAGATACCATTCTGAGAATGTTAGTGCTTTATATAAATCATTAATATAGTTAAAGTCTATATAATGCAGATTAGATATGAAATATCTAAACTATATATTGTTGCGTGCGTACGGGTTCGTTATGAAATGAATGCACAAGTCCGATGAAAAATGAACAAAAATTTATTATTATCACAACAAAAATGCTTAAATTTTCTCAATTATCATGCAGTATTACAATATCTCACAGTAGTTTTCTTTTAACTACTCAAATGTCAATAGAACGTAATTCAAACAGCTAAAGAACGCTAATCCGCGAATTCGCTACAATCACAACAGTAGTTTTCTAAACCAACAAACTAAGCAACTACTACAAACTGAGATGTTTTCCTCCTTTTATAAGATTTTAAAATCACGCGCTAGAATTTTCCAGTACTTTCTCGAAATAAAAAGAGATATTTATTTATTTAATGCACGCGCTCTTGTATTTTCAATTTCCCCCGGCTTAGCTTTCTTTTAATATTCGTCACGCGCTGCACTGCGCGAGAAATAAAACCATTTAATTTGTAATTGAACTAACATTAGCTTTTTTAAATACCAAATTCGTAACACTAACACTGCCCCCTTCCCAAGGACTGCACGTCCCGGGCAGTACAATCCCTGGACAGGAAGCTAAACTTACAACTGTGGCATAAATGCAACTGAGGCATAACATTACATTACAATATCAAACAATATAAACAATAAATGCAATAACTAACTTAAACAAATCAAATGCTATCAAATACTAATACAAAACAAATACTAAATACAAATCAAATACTAAATGCAAATCAATTACTAAATACAAATCAAATACTAAATACACATTTATAAACAAAAAGGACCATGGTCTGATACTATTTACAATTATTTACATTACGTACTATGGCCATAGTAATAAGCTAACCTGTCGTAAGAGTTCGAAGACTCACGGATCCGAACCACGACGTCATTCGTGTTCAGCACTGTATATGGACCATCCGAAGGTGACTGTAATTTAGGACTCAGTCCTTTTCGTTGAATTGGGTTCCACAACCACACCTTGTCTCCTTTGTTGGATCTATGTCTAGTAGCTCTTGTGTCGCATCTGGTCTTCACTTTCCTCCGTCGCCAAGTTGACTCGCTTTCGTGCAGAACGGTGCATCCCCTCAAACCGGGCCTGGGCATCTTGGATGTGTTCCTCAGGCGATGAAGGCGCATCCGTAGGGCGACTAAACAGGCGGTCACAAGGCAGACGAAGGTCTCGACCGAAGAGCTTCTGGGATGGAGAATAGCTGGTAGTCTTGCGTTTCTTTTCGACCCTGGTATGATTTCGGCAGCTTCCCGAGCTGGGTCTTTCGGACAAGGCGTCGGCATTTCCAAGTGAGGATCTCTTCTGAGGATGGATAGTCATGTCACCAGATGCTGAAAGCAGTTTGTTGTTTTTGAAGTCTAAGGAAAAATTGTATTTCCTTAAAAAGTCCAATCCGAGTATGCATGGATCTGTGATATCCGCCACATAAGCCGTGTGATGGTAGGCGGCACTTCCAAACGTGATGTTTACATTTAACTTCCCAGTTATGTCGATCTTGTCACCAGACGCAGTCTGAAGGGTAACACAGGATGGCGTCCAAATAAGTTTATCTTTAAACTGTTCAGCTAAGTCTTTCCTAATGATGGTAACATTAGCTCCTGTGTCAATGATCATATCGCAAGGAACTCCATCGATATTCCCATTAATGGACATTCCGTTACTGTTGCCACTCACTGTATAAATTTTAAGCGCTTTAAAACAAGGTTTTTCATTATCTGGCAACCTCCGTTCCTTGATATGGTCATTAATTTGTTTCCTGCGTCGTTGCTCAGAAATTGTCTCAATTTTCGTACCCTGGGGTGTTCTGCAATTCTTTCGTACGTGGCCTTCAGTTCCACAGTTCCAGCACTTTAGTTTCTTGTCAATCCTTTTCCGTCTCGATGAGCATTTAATTGTCCTGTTTCAACCCGCCTCTCTTATTTTCGGTGCTCTGGGGAGTTCTGCAGTTCCTTCGCACGTAGCCTTCAACACTCAACACCGCAGTTACAGCACTTTAGGGTTGGTTTCTTCTCAACAGTCTATTCCGTCTCAAGCCACTGACTTGTCTGGTAAAATCATCTGCTTAATTATCCGTGCCCTGGGGTGTTCTGCAATGCCGTCGTATGTGCCCTTCAACTACCACATTTCCAACACCTTAGAGCCACTTTGTTCTCGCTCCTACTCCGTATCAAATGCGTCGACTTCTCTGGCTAAATCATCTAAACGAGCCATCAAGTTGATCCACTGGCTCGTGGACTCGCACAGCTCTGACTGGGTAGCGATCTCGATCTCTACGAGTTGCTTGCTGTGCTGCCTCGAATTTCATGGCGTACATTAACAGAGCGCTTTTCAAAGTCTTTTAACATCCACCATTCGCAGTGCTTTCTGTATTTCAGGGATCCCAGAGGCCAATCTGATGAAAGTATTGCAGTGACAGAATTTCTCTTGTTTCTGTCAGGCACTCCTGAAAAGGCGTGATGTGACAGCCTTTCAACATCCGTGGCGAGCTCCTAAGCGATTCGGTGGGCTTCTGTTGACGAGATTTTAATTGGAGCCTACTGTAGTCTTTTAAACATTTCTCGCCGAAGCGCAGCTCCAAAGCGCCGGATAGAGCTTCGAAATCTAGCCTTTGATTTTCGGGAAGCGTCTGCAGGATATCCGCTGCGTCTGCTCTCAGAGAAGCGGCGAGATGACAGGCCTTAGCTTGGGAATCCCATCCATTCGCATCCGCAACGATAGAAAATTGTGTCCTATACACCTGCCAGGAGGTCTTCCCATCATATGTAGATAGTTTCAGAAGTGGACGAGCAGGCATTGGTAAGAATTTAAAATCATCACTCCTGCTCCCTGCCGACGCTACGAATTTCTTTAAAGTATCCATTTCTTTGGCAACTGCAGAAACTCTCTCATCAATTTTGTTCGTTTACAGAAGAAACTCTTTCTTCTATTTTTCTTCTTTCACCGAAGAAACTCTTTCTTCAATATGTCCAACTTTATTTTCAACTGCGTCAATTCTGCCTTCATAGCTTCAAATTTATTTTCTATTATGCAAGTAATTTCTCTTTTCATTTCTTCTTGACCAGCTTGAACGGCTTTCATTTCGTCCTTAACGGATTCCTGGCCCAATTTTCATTTCTTCCTTAACGGATTCCTGGCCCAATTTCCTTTCTTCTTCCATTTCATTTCTTCCTTAAATGATGCGTGGCCAGCTTCCATCTTTTCTTGGAATGCAGCAAAAGCACTAATTGAGCTGTCTCAATTGTTCTTCCATCGCTCTTGTTATTGGCATTCAAATCCCACTTCTGACACCAAAAATTGTTGCGTGCGTACGGGTTCGTTATGAAATGAATGCACAAGTCCGATGAAAAAATGAACAAAAATTTATTATTATCACAACAAAAATGCTTAAATTTTCTCAAATTATCATGCAGTATTACAATATCTCACAGTAATTTTCTTTTAACTACTCAAATGTCAATAGAACGTAATTCAAAACAGCTAAAGAACGCTAATCCGCGAATTCGCTACAATAATCAACAACAGTAGTTTTCTAAACAACAACAAACTAAGCAACTACAAAACTGAGATGTTTTCCTCCTTTTTAAAGATTTTAAAATCACGCGCTAGAATTTTCCAGTACTTTCTCGAAATAAAAAGAGATATTTATTTATTTAATGCACGCGCTCTTGTATTTTCAATTTCCCGGCTTAGC